TCAGACAGAAGCAAATAGTCATCCCTTCAACGAACAAGCCACAGTGTCTATACCAACAAGATAATTCTAGTGTGGATTACTTAATCAATTGCATCAAGTCAAGCCATTTTCAGAACAGAACAACACAAATTGTGCAATCATGCAGAGTGCAGAAGATATCCAAAACGATGACAGAAGAAAATAACACATGTAAACAATTGCCATTTTCAAGCTGGTAGGAAACTTTCAAAAACATCGGAACAGAGCAATACAGGATGGATGTAATGTGTTGTGTAATTTAAAAATCCGCTGGGAGCAAGAAAATGACAACAAAAAGATCGAACATGAAAATAGCGAGGTACAAGCAGATTGTATTGGGAATATATATTTCAAGGCATTTTATTAATTTTGATTACTCGATCAGTTCCATCTAGTTAAGTCATTTCCAAGACAAAAAAATACATAGAAATCATTCAGTCATTTAGGATGCCTAATCCCTCTACAAAATACAAATGATACCTGCAAAAAACCAACATATAAACAAATGCAACAACAAAAAAATCCTAGACGAGTTACTATCTATAAATTAAAAAACCTTAATTTGAGATTAAAATTAGTCGTTCAAATACAATGATATGCCCAACTTCAAATGTACCGCCGTTCTAATTCTCTTACCTGGTGATAATCATTATTCCATGAAAAAAAAAAAAAACTTACCTCATTTCCCACTGTTTTACTTTTCTTCTGGGCGCGTTGATAGTGATAAATGAAGCTTTCGCTTCCGAGTAAAAGCAGACTCCCCATATTTATGACCAACCTTATCTTCAACAATCTTACAATGAACATGAGTTTTTGCATTGTAAATTCGACGTGAAATTCAGTTGCAAGAGGTATAGATGGAAACACACCTGCAGAGAAACCGACGGAGGAAGATTAGTTGTAAAAGATGGAAGTAGTCGAGGTTGAAACGGATGAATTAGGGCTTGCGCTTTTAAAAACTTGTCAGTGGGCTTTCAACAGTGAACAGAAGAAGGAAATGTTGGCTGGGCTT